TTTTGCTCACCCCGTAGGCTCTCCAAATCTAAGAACGAGGCCTCCCCCACGCAGAGAATCCAGTCTGGTTTGTGTTGCCTTTTTATATTTAAACCTTGCAATAATTGTGTAAATACAGCAGGCCCTGGGCATTTCCTCTTTCCCCCGTGCAGGGCGTATGGAGACTCTTTAAAACCGGCTGTGTGCAATGTGGAATCAACCCCATGTTCTGGAAGACTTTGCTTTGCATCTTCATGTTGCACTTGGCTATGTGAATCCTGTACTCCCTTCTCCAGTGCAGCGCTTGCTTAAAATAACCCAGTCTGGGAGCATGAAAATGGGAGAGAGAGGAAAGCGGTTTTGTCTTGTTTGTAACTTTTTTTATATAAACTCCTATAATTTTCTTGAGGGGGGGGTGCTTGTAGCTTTTCCCCCAAAATACTTCTGTGGTATTGGCCTGTGCATGTGAACCTTTTCTCCCCTTGCCCCCTATGGTAACTTTTCCCAGACAAAAGTTGTTCTTTTGTTGGAATAAACCTTCCTTTTCAATGTTGCACATCCAGTTCAGGAGCCAATTTTATGGTGCTGTGGTTTGTTCCAATAGGAACAATAAGACCCAATTTTAGATCCTTAATTACCCAAGAGAGTAGGTTCAGACCTTGGAAGGAATAACACATGTAATGGCAAATGTGCAGCAGTGTTTGGTTTTGCCGTTCAAGTGGAAACAAAGTCCTTGAATAAAAAAGCCTGGAGTCTTTACTGAAGAATTGTTGTGAGCTCACGGCATGTCACTGGGGTAACAGCTCTTTTCAAAACCTTGCCCAGTATGAAATGGCTTTATCTGAATTATAAACAGCATCAAGGACTGAGGAGGGGACAGCCCCAAACACAAGAGCATAGAAACAGTACCTGCCTTGTTATGAGATACCCTTGCTCTTCATTTTTCCACGGTCCAAGATGTGGTCAGACTCCTCAACAAAGTGCCAACCAGTTTCTGGTACAAAGTGCCCTAGTCTCAAGAACCGTTTGTTTGAAAAAGTTGCCCCAAGATAAGGCGTATTTGAGAACTTTTACTAACCAATGAGATTCCTGCCCTCTGAATCTGCAAATAGGCTTCTCCCTCATTTTAAATTGTTCCAGGAGCAAAAATTATAAGGAGGAAGTTCAAATTGGGTCATGAAAAGCAGACAGCCTTCTAAATGGAAAAAGGGCTCAGATGTGAAGTGTCGGGACACCTTTACCTGCTCCGTCACATCAGTCTGGTTTCATATCGTACGCGATGAGAGCCAGCATTAAAATCCGGATGCTGAGCTGATCACTCCAGAAGAGATGGCCAAAAAAATCAGTGAAACAGGTTAAGTTTCTTTAGACTCCACAATCTGGATTAAGTCCTTTATATTTCCAAGGAACGTAGACTGAGTTGTTTTAGAAGGCCAAGGCCTTGCCATTCTCCGTTGGATATGGCCATTAAAGATCCTGTGGCTTTTTCATAAAAAAATAAGGACTTTCTCAAGTATTCTTTGCTGAAGTTGGGTGTTGGGTGATCAGGTGGAAGTGGAACAGTGGAAAATGGGAGGGAAGCGCCCCGGTCATTCCTCCTTATGTGTATTTGAATTAACTATGCCCAGAGGCATGTGCCATACATGAATCTCCCAGTTGTCTTGTGTTATGTGTTTCATATCTGATTTCTCATCCTAATGTTTTAATCCAGCGAAGAGCTCAACCTGGCTAATGTGTAGTGTTTTTCTCCCGACATTTTTTCACTGATTATTTTCAGTTGGACTTTGTGTTGGAAGGTATGCTATAAACAACACATGTGAAATGTCAAGTGTGTCCCCTGTTTCCTGTTAGCTCGGTTTTAATCCAGGCCATCTTAAAGTCCCAAGACACTTTGTGGTATTTCATCTCATGCTATATTTTCACATTTGCAGTGCTGAGATGGATAGTTGAAAGACAGCAAAGCAGGATTGGTAAGAGGTGTCAAGCACCACCTCTGCTGAATGCCTCGTGTACCCTGCATTGAAATGATGCGTGACTCTTATGACGGGGATACTTTAGAAATGAAATGAGCCGTGCATTTAATAACGTACCGTATTTAGCTTCCTTTCTTCGATGTCCTGGCTGCATCTCTCGGTTCTGCGTGTGGCTAATCTGCACGCATCAGACCTCTGTATCCAGGCTGCGTTTTGTTGTTGTGATGCATTGGTCTTTTAAAGAAGAAAACACCCCTTCAATTCCTTCTCCAGGACCCCGACTTGTTCTGTCTCAATACTGTCATATCAGTCAATAGAGCTTTAAGGTAATGGCACCTATAGAAGTGCTGAGACTGATATTTTACCCTGTTTATCATTAAAAGCAGCTCCAATGAAACTTTTTTCATTAACCAGCCCAAAAGCTGTAAAGAACATGTAGGAGAAATTGGTGGTTCTTGGCTACATAGAGGGATTAGGCATTTTGGCCCTGTGTCCTGATGTCCTTCTGCCTCCCTTTTGTCATTTTAGCTAAATGAGTGCTTATAGCATGAGTCATCTCTGCTGAGGGTTAGTGGGAACAGCACTTGGACTTCATGGTGATGATTAGATCCCTGCTTGTTTGGGATGGTTTTAATTTTAACAAATGGACAGCAGTTCTTGACCACTTTTAGCATCTCACATACCAATCCCATGCAGTTCCAATGAATTCTGAATATTTAAAGCTGGTGAGATCTGGAGACAGAGGCCTTCATAGACCTGTTTCCACAGAATTTTTTACATTTTAGTATCTTAAGCCATTTGGTAACAACCAGTGAAGCTAAACAAACCAGTGGTGTGACCAGAATGGCCAACTCTGATGGAAAGCAGTATTTTATACTTGGTGAAGGAGTTACTAGCAGTGCACAGAGCTCTGAAAGCTATCCCAGGTATTAACTTCCATTATAATAAGTCTGGTGATTACTGCTGGGAGGTAAATTAGGGGTAGGAAGTACAGCTCACCAAGTAGTGCCCAGAAGGTGGCACTGACCACTTCAGCCCACTATTGCTCTTTGATTCACTACCAATTTGCTTTTTTGAAACAGGGTTTCCAGCTGCCTAAGCCACCAGAACCGCCCTCAGTAGAAGTGGAGTACTACACTATTGCGGAGTTCCAGTCTTGTATTTCAGATGGGATAAGCTTTCGAGGAGGGCAGAAAGCAGAGGTGAGCTCAAAGACTGCTGCAGGAGTCAGGTGTGGGGGTGCTTTGCCGTGGCAATGGCCTTGCAATGGCTGATGATGTTCAGCCATTGCAAAGCATTGTACAAGTGTTAGATTAATAATAAAAAAAAAAAACTTGACTAATTACTTCTCTAGACTGATGGTATTAACCTTCTCCTAGGTTATTGAAAAGAACTCTGGTGGCTGGTGGTACGTACAGATTGGCGAGAAAGAAGGATGGGCACCAGCATCTTATATCGATAAAAGGAAGAAGCCCAATTTAAACAGAAGAACTAGTACGCTGACCCGGCCCAAAGTTCCTCCCCCAGCACCTCCCAGTAAACCAAAAGACTCCGAAGAAGGAGCAGTTCCCGGGACCATATCTTCTGGAGAAGCCCAGGACTCCCTACAGAAGCCCAGATATGAAGAGCCCGAGTACGATGTGCCTGCCTTTGGTTTCGACTCGGAGTCTGAAGTGAATGAGTGCCAGCGAGAAGACAGCACCTTGGAAAAACGCATGTTCCAGCCGTTCAAGCCTTCCCCTGTATCGTCCCTCCAGAGGGCAAAGTTCAAAGTTGGTGGGTCTTCAGAGGACGTTGCCCACGAAGAAGAAACCATCTATGAAAACGAGGGATTCAGACCTTACCTGGAAGACGCCTTATCAAGTAAGGAATCTAGTGGAGACTCAGATTCCCTCAAAAGCTCCTCGCTCTCCCTGATCCGAAGGAACTCTCCGTGTTCTGGTTCTCCCAAATCGTCACTCCTGAAGCTCAAGTCTGACAAAAACATCCAGCCCGATCTTGGAAAATGTCACTATTCCAGGAGTGAGGAGACAAAACTCAGGTCAGCCTCCGATGCTGGCTTGCGTAGCATGCCCAAAGCAAGTGTCAAGAAGGAGCCTGGCCAGAGCCCCTCCATCCGAGCAAAGCCAATAGTTAGACCAAAACCATTCCTGAACAAGGCAGATTCTTCAAGCCAAGAAAAAATGGACATCAGCACTTTACGGCGTCAGCTGAGGCCAACTGGACAGCTTCGAGGTGGACTTAAAGGATCTAGAAGTGAGGAGTCTGAAAGCCCTCCCCGTACAGCATCCGAGAACCAAGAAGAGTCCTTCAGGAGAAGCTCGGCAGATCTCATCACGTCTCCTTCCCATGGCATTTTCTGTTCAAACCACTCCATCAAGACTGAGCAAGAGAACAACTCTAAGTGCTTCTACGTGACCACTGATGCCTACCAAAAGGTGCAGGAGTCTGAAATCTGCTTTCCAGCAGGAGTGGAAGTAGAAGTGCTGGAGAAGCAAGCCAGTGGGTGGTGGTACCTTAAATATGGAGACATGGAAGGGTGGGCCCCTTCCCACTATCTGGCTCTTGCTGAAAACCAGCAGCGAGAAACCTCAGCCACAGAGGCCGATGCCAAGAACAGAAGGAACGAAAGCAAGTCGAACAGCTTGGAGAAGATAGAGAAGAGAGTCCAGGCTTTGAATACCATCAACCAGAGCAAAAGAGCAACGCCTCCTATTCCAAGTAAGCCTCCTGGTGGCTTCTCCAAAACATCAGGGCCCATCAAAATGAGGAACGGAGTGAGACAACTGGCAGTGAGGCCACAGTCGGTGTTCGTCTCCCCACCACCGAAGGACAGTAACATCTCATGCTCCCTGCGCCGCAACGAATCCCTAACGACTACAGACCACCTGAGGGTTGTCCGCCGGAACGCGTCTTTTAGCAGCACCCATTTACAGCCCGGCGACTCCAAGGCCAAGCCGGCCGATCGAGCCGTCACGGAGGAATCGGAAAACACCTCCAGCCTGTCGGGCCAGCGAAATGGGATCCCGGTGTCCACTGTCAGGCCAAAGCCCATTGAAAAATCTCAGTTCATCCACAACAATCTCAAGGATATCTATGTTTCCATTGCAGACTATGAGGGGGATGAGGAGACTGCAGGGTTTCAGGAAGGCGTGTGCATGGAGGTCCTAGAAAGGAACCCAAATGGCTGGTGGTATTGTCAGATCATGGATGGCGCGAAACCATTTAAAGGCTGGGTGCCCTCAAACTATTTGGAGAAAAAGAACTAATGTTGTAATATCTTTAATTCCCTAATTTATACTGTTCCTGCTGTGTACACATGGAAAAAAAACAAACATTACTGCTACACAAAAAGACATTTCCCTGTGCTCTCAGTTTGTACAAAAGGACCAACCGGCCGAGCGATGCTGATGACAAGTCACTGTGTTCTGGAGAAGTTGGGGAGTTGACCTGCTGGAAGCAATTCGGACACGTCTATAGAGGAGCGGCAGCATAGATGAATGCTTTTTTTGTGGAGTTGTTAAATAATCTTGTGTGTAACAGGGTATGATATCCCACCTTTTCCACTTTAACAATGGTAGGAAACCAAATGTGTGCCTTGTGTGGGGGAGAGAAATTGATGTGTCTACTTGAGGAGTTAAGTGCCAAACAAGATGTTAGTGGCTCCCTCTCTCCTTATTTTCTGTACGTGGACCATCCAGGAGTCTTGAATGCATTTCCCCGACTTCGACTGGGGTAAGCAGATGGGAATTACATTTGGAAATAGAGGAACCCCAACCCTGTCTAGAAACTCACGTTTTTCACTCGAGCCGATTTTGTTCCAGAGTTGGAGCCTTTTCATCGTGGAGGGATTTGGTTTCTAACTTTGCAGATGCGTTTTGTTGCCGTATTCCAGAAACGGCTTCCATGAGATCTTGGGTTTCGGGGGGGTTTTTGCTTCCTCTTTTGTTCTGGATCTAGGCCCTTGAGATGGGACTCCAGATGTTTTTAAGGCTATTTGTGCCAACTGGATGCTCACGAGCCCACCTACTCATCCTTTGTGCATCGTGGTTATTTTGGAGGTCCTTTTTTTTTGTTTGGTGTGGTGATCCCTGCCCGGAGGTCCACATTGATTCTCTTTCCAGAGTTGGGTTCCTACAAACTGGCATCATCGTGAACTACAACAAAATGTCTCTGAGACCTTTAAACATGAAAACTTAGTCTGATGCATTACTTCACGCTTAGACCCAAAGTGGAGCATGGTGACTGTTGGCAGGGCCCACAAAGGTAGACATTAGAAACAGCCGTAACCTTTTGCAACATCAGTGTTTACAAAGAGAAGAAAAAGCCATTGATTTCAGTCTGCACAATCTTTAATTTGTATATTTTGGGGGAATTGTTGGGGTGTGTGTGTGTTGTCTTTTCTGTGCAGTCTGTGTGGTGTGGGGTTTTTTGGGTTTTGTTTTTTTGAGGTGTGGGGTATTTTTGATGTTCATTTGGGGGGGGGGGGGTTGGTTTTTTTTTGTTTTT